AGAGTTTTTAAGAGTTTTAGCCAAATGTTTTATAAGATAGTATAGATATGGCTCTAAAAATACATATAAACAAAACATAGATGAACTTGATTAGATGTATTGGTACTAGAGAGATCTTTTCTTAACATCAAATGTATTGGTACTAGAGAGAAATGATAACTCCAACAATTTCTTTGTTCTCAATGCTTCCCAACTTATGGGAATTAGTCACTTCAAACAGCCTTCCATGGATATATGGGTATCTAAAATAATATTGACAAAATAATGCAATGATTATGAGCTTAGGGTAACCAACAACAGCCATGAACTGAACCAACAATGACGAGCAATGAGTGAAAGAGACAAGAGAGGAACGCGAGGCTAAGAGAGGGGTGTTTGTAAATCGGATTTGTAATCTATAATAATACTATAACTAATTAAAGACTAGTTGAAATAAGGTCAAGATCTATAGTTTATATTTTAGAATAGAAAAAGATAGAATTTTACTTGTAAAAGTCTTTGTAACTATCTGTATTGATCTAAAATAATATTGAAATCTGATCTATAGTTTATATTTTAGAATAGAAAAAGATAGAATTTTACTTGTAAAAGTCTTTGTAACTATTTGTATTGATCTAAGAAAACAAAGCCTTCAACAAAATTAAAGACTAGTTGAAATAAGGTCAAGATCGTCACTAAAGCGAATTGGTTTGTCATTTAACCAAAAGAAGATCAATACATGATAAACTTAAATAGTAATATGACAAATACTACTACTGGCACGCCAGATTTTGGGCCACAAATTTGTCCAACAAGTTTGGTTCACCAATTCATACAACACTTATCCTAGTATGGAAACATGTTCAGCATAGAATGTAAATGAGAAGCTTCCCTAATCTTACATTTTAGTCCTTCTAATCATAGATATTGTTGAAGGTATGTCACAACAGAAATGTGATCCTCAAACTTTATAGACCCTCATGTAGGATTTTACTACTGTCTGATCTTCCACCATATATTCATTTTAAAAATAGTACCGCTATTAATAGAGTT